ATAAGTGTGACTTTGAAACTGTGTGATCTTAAGTACAACGTTATAATCGATCGGAAGAAGCAAGTGGAGCCTCCTCACTGGAAGCATCAGAAGGTGAGGTCTCTCCCCTGGGGGTCTCCAAGAGGGAGCAGGGGAGAAGCTAACTCTGTTCAGTGAGGAGCATCCTCTTATAAGAAAAGCGAGATGGGGTCACAGGTGCACGACCTTGCTCTCCTGCCTAAACTGACCAACGCCATCCTCCATATGCCCCAGTTACTCCAAGGCACTTGCCTGCTTTACGGTCTATTGCTATCTCTTTCAGAAGTCTTTGACGTGGGCAACATCATTTTGTTAGAATCTGGGTAGAGGCTATAATCACGCATCAATACTCATGGGTTTCTCTGCATTTCCCAGCCTCTCTTGCAGCTAGGTTGGCTCCATGTCTAGGTCTGCTAATGGAATGTGAGCAGAAATGATGTCACTTCTGAGCTGAGGTGGTTAAACATCTAGGGTACCATCCCCATACTTGCTTGTCCCCCTATCTGCCAGGACCAAGTTGGAAGTAGCCTGGTTAATTGGCAGGACCAAGTTGAAAGCAGCCTGGGTCCTCCAGCTCCTGCCCAGGGGGCAGCCGCTTAGAGGACAACTACCCAGGAGAGCAGCCCAATGTGCACCCGCATGACCCACATGAGAAATCAGTGTCTATCATGTTAGGCCACTGGGGTTGTTTGATACCACAGCATAGTCTTGCCTATTCTGACTAATGTAGGTTCTTGACTAGAAGTGTGATTGTACAGGTTGCAGCGATTTCTCTCTGCATGTCTGCATGTCAGTCTGTTTGTGTGCATGTAGCCCAGGAGGAATGACCCATGAAGGGTGAACAAAGGGAAAGAAAAGTGCAGTCCTAACAGTAGCTGGATAGCCAATGGGGTGTCTTTCTAGACACTGGCGGCAGAACACATCTCCCACTACTAGAGGCTGGAGGGTCATAAGTATGGTTCCCTGTAGTGAACGTAATGACCACATGCCATGTGCCAGAAAGGTCTGTTTGAGCTCATGCAGGCAGAGCAGAATATTCTGTTTCATAACTTTGCAGAACATAAGGTAGGCAGTGTTTATCACTTGGCATTTTCCTACTCCAGCTGGGTGGCTGGTCATTTGTCCAGGCCAGCTATTCTTATAAACCTGGGAGGCTTCTCTTCTGGGTGTCAGCTTGGAGGCTGTGACCAGGATTGTTGTTCAACTCTAGTGGTACCAAGATAGTAGCTTCCAGAATATCATGATTTTCACATTGCAGGGAAAGCAAGAGCTACCATGCCAGGTAATTTAGGGAGTTCTGGGTGCCCAGCTTCTAGGGAACCCCTCCCACAAACCCTTCACAGACTCCTCCCTGAGTCCAAAGACCTCGGGTGGATGTCTCCTTTTAGAGTTGCTGCCTTCTGAGCTGTCGTCTGTTTCCCTGAGCTTCTCACTGAAGAATAGAGTAACCACATTTTCCTAGCTCACCTTTCAAGACTGAGATAAAGCCAACAGAGTTTTCTCCAAGTTATCATGAGTTGGGGGCTGTGCATCACACTGTGAAAGATACAATAAAAGAGCTCCCCTGGTTACATTAGAAGAAATAGTGAGATATCATGTTTTGATCTTAGCAGCTTGTTGAAAAATGGCCTTTTAAAGACGAAAGCAAGCCTAGTTAGTGGAAAGGAGAGTAGAATAAAGAGTTATTTGGATGTGAAGAAAATAAAAGGCTTTAGAACAACTGAGGGAAAGATGTATCAGTGTGAACAGTGAATAAAATATTAGGGAAATAAAAGGAGTGGAGGTGACCATTAGTAACAGTTAAAGTAGAAAAAGATAAGTCATTGCGAATTGAGGAGGAAGATGAAAAAGGATAAAAGGAAATATTACTGTCTGAACAAAGAGAGCAGGGAGCCATGAACAGAATAAACATTCCCTATAACCTGCTAAAAGCTGAACACAGAATTGCTTGAATAAAAGGCTGGGGTGTGAGCAGATATACAATATCTATCATTCAGAGAAACAACACTTTCAGACAACTTTACAGAAAGGTAAATAGTGTAGCCATCAATTGATTAGGCTGTGATTTTACTTCTGCAACACAAAAATTCACAATGAATTTTTAAAACACGTAACTATTGCAGACATAGAAGAAAAAGGTGCAGACAACTTTACAGAAAGGTAAATAGTGTAGCCATCAATTGATTAGGCTGTGATTTTACTTTCTGCAACACAAAAATTCACAATGAATTTTTAAAACACGTAACTATTGCAGACATAGAAGAAAAAGGTAAGGTGCATAAAAGGGACCCAAGGTAATGTTACCGACCTCGCTCCTTTTAACCTCTATTATTACCTACAGCATCAGCCTATATGTCACTAAAACATCCCTAGCCATTTTCTGGATCTTTGATATGCAAACCCAAATATCTAAGCATTTTTAAACTTTCTGGTTCTGTTTGATTCTTTTCATTTTTCATCTAAATGTTAACCTTATGTTAGGGACTTCATTCTGAGAGCAATTTCGTGGTTAATCACATTTTTCAAAGATAGAAGGGTTTTTGTGTTGAATTGTAAGGAAATTCATAAAATAAACTAAGAATGAGACAGGGAATGAGAGAAAGAGAGTGAGAGAGAAAGGCGATGGGGATGGGGAGAAGGAAGCTGAAAAATATTGGTTGGTTAGGTGGAAAAGTCCATTCAACATTTTGGGCTTTTAGGGCCAGCCCCATGGCTCACTCGGGAGAGTGCAGCGCTGGTAGCGTCGAGGCTGTGGGTTTGGATCCTATATAGGGATGGCCGGTGCACTCACTGGCTGAGCGTGGTGCAGACCACACCATGCTGAGGGTTGCCATCCCCTTACTGGTCAAAAAAATAAATAAATTAATTAAATTAAATTTTTAAAAAAAGAAAACATTTTGGGCTTTTTATTTCCTCTTGCAAGTGGAATGGAGCAAAGCATTAAAGCATTGCTATTGCTTCTGGAAATCCAGATTTACTAGAGAATATTCAATAGGCATTTCAAGACTGAAAAATTTCTTCTTCACTTAGGCACAATTAACCTTATTCGCAGGGTCTATACTCATAACGATCTCTGTTCATTGCTTTGAGATGTACTGGAATGGACCTAACCAGATCTGCTCTTTGTATTTCTTTTGCCCTAGTAATACATACGGACATGTGGTTTCATTGAGAGGGACTAATCAGACTTCCTGACCCAACAACACACACAAGTATAAAATTTTAAATGTCCTCAATTCCCATGTCACTGACTTTTCCTGAATGTACTATCATTGATAATCAACCTAGTCTCATTTAGAATTTACTAGTTTACACAGAACAAACAACCATAACCCACTTAAGGACTTAGGGGATTAAAAGAAAAAAGCCCACATACAGACCCACACAAAACTGTGATATTGGGATGTACAGTACGGCCTAGTTTAAATTAAAAAGTCCCCCAAAGTATGATTGTTTCCAGCTTCTCAGCAGTGAATTAAAAGCTGTTTGGTGTCATGAAGATTACAGAAGCAATCACATCTGTGGGCCTGCTTTGCATACCAACTCTATCAATTTCCATACTCAAGGTGGCTTTGAATTTCCAAGCATGTTAACATAGATGCCATTTGGGATAATAACTTGAAAAGAAAAGAAAAGGGAGAAACAGAGAAAGAGAGAGACAGAGACAGAGACAAAAAAAAAAAAAAAGAAGACAGGAGAGCCAGAAAAATGGTTCTTGCACATCAAGTTCTGTTTGAAATATATTAATTCTGATAAATACAAAAATCAAAAGACAAATGAGGGTTCCCGACGGCCTGACCCAGGAGTCACACTCAGACACCAAATGAACAGAAAATTACATATTGGAATTCGCTTGTAGTGCCAGTCTTGCACCTTGTCACTACAAACTCCAATTATTGAAATGATTTCATTGGTGTAATTGCATCAAGATGTGCATGGGCTGCACCACGGACAGCTCCCCAGATGCTCAGCATTGTATCTTCATTACTGTGTTCCTTTCAACTCTTAAAATGTGTCCCAGCCTCCCAGAGTCATCCAATCAAGCAGGCTGTTTTCTTTTTTCTTTTCTTTCAACATATCAGCAACATAGCATAGGAATGAAGGGACACGACAAGACTTGAAGGCCAACCTGAGGTCATACGGACAAATGTGCAATCGTCTTCCTTACAGGGACCTTAGAGCAACTGACCAAATTAGGTCATTGTTTCTGTATCTTTCATTCCCACATGTTAAATAATGATGCTTAAGAGCCTACATTTAAGTGGTTATGTGTCTACCATCAATTTTAAATTTGATTGTGCTAAAACTGTGCTTGTTATGCACTTAGCAATGCTCCCTATGCCCCCTTAAAGATAAAATAATGTAATGTTAGCATTAAAATTAGGAAGAGATCATAATCACAGATCTGAAGGTTGCATATGTTAAGAAATCAAATGGAATTTGGGGGGAATTGAGTTTAATCCACGGAATAACCAGTAGAAGAAGTTTTTAATTTTTCTGAAGACCATCTTATTAACCCTAAAAATAGGAGGTTTTGATTCCTGTGTCTAAAAATTTCTAGAAACCAGTATCATGCTCTCACCATTATTTTGACCTAATGCTATGTATGAGAAACTATAGATAGGACAGCAATCTACAGGAAGGCGATGACTTTGCTCTTGGGGGTCTGCCCAGGGAAATGGATTTCTTTTCCTTTGTGCAGTGTAGAATGCAGGCTGGCAGCTCACAGCCCCCTTTTCTGGGAGTGGTGTGGAAATTCCCACTGCTGATAAAATACTAAAAAGAGATACACACCATTCTTTCAATCTCTAAGCGGACAAGGCCTAATTCAAGAGCTTCCATGCTGGGCCAAGCAGTGACATAGAAAAAATAATCAGAAAACACTTAGTTTAAAAAATACCATATCCTGAGACACATTCCCAGACATTAGTAAATTCAAATACGAGAATAGGCCAAAAGCATCTTCAAGGGACATTGCTTACAGTTTAGAATCGACCGGTCCTCAATGAATTCATCTGGCTGATTGATATGGAACACTTTCTGCTGAAATCCAGGAGTGCAGTCCAAATCTTCTGCAGATGTTAACAGCAGCACCTGAGAAAACCAAAGCCATCAATATTGTAATAGCGGCTTATGTGTTTGCCCTGCTAACTTTTACCAAATCTGTGACTTTTAGAAATGAGCTGAGGTTTTAATTTCATTTCCCAAATGAAGAAGTAAGTTGATACTTCTCCTGTGGCTGCCAACAATTCGTTTTGGCAATGAGATTTGGAAAATGTGTAAATGGGAACAGCTGCTGCGGTTTCCATTAAGTTGCAGTTAAAGAAATAACTTCGTCAGATTTTTACACCTGCTAAGAATCTCACCATGGTTTCCACGTGTGAAATTTCATTACAGAAACTGTCAATTTGCTATAATGCCTAAACTAAAACCAACCTCACTGTTATGTATGCCAAGGACCATTGTCATCTATGAAGAGGAAGAAAAAGAAAATGGAGCTATATTCCATTGGAAGTTATTTCTAAAAGGAATCAAGGGCCAACTAGACCCTCACCATGGTCTACTATAGTGGTCACAAGCAACAGGGGGCTACTTAGCACTTGAAATGTAGCTAGTCCAAAACTGATACATTGTAGGTGTAAAATACAAATTGGATTTTGATGACTAAGAAAAAGAATGTAAAATATCTAATTAATAATTTTATATTAATTACATATTGAGATACTATTTTACATATATTATTAAAATTAATTTCACTGGTTTCTTTTTTCTTTTGTAAATTGGGCTACTAGAAAATTTAAAATTGCTTCCAAGGCTTAGTTTTGTCTTCACAAATCCTTGGGACACTTTATCCAGTGGTCCAAAAACGACATTATGTGCTTTAGAACATAAATGTACGTGACATCTTCCTGGGCAAGGTGTAATTTAGTAAAATAACAAATGGCGTTAAGGTTTAGTAGCTTCCAAGGCTTAGTTTTGTCTTCACAAATCCTTGGGACACTTTATCCAGTGGTCCAAAAATGACATTATGTGCTTTAGAACATAAATGTACGTGACATCTTCCTGGGCAAGGTGTAATTTAGTAAAATAACAAATGGCGTTAAGGTTTAGTAGGCAAAGACTATAAGCCCCATGAAGATAGGAATTACTTCTTTCCCCCATCTGTTTATACTGAGAATCTGCCACACACACTGGAACTGAGAAGATGCTCCATAATACTTAAATAAAAACTAACATTTTTGAGCCCTTATTATTTGGCAAGCACTGTGCTAAGCTCACTATATACATAATCTCATTTAATCTCTACAGCAGCCCTATGAAGTATGTACTGTAATATAAGATATACTTTACAGAAGGAGGACCTGAAATTCTGGAGAGACTAAAACAGTTGCCCAAGATCATACAGTTAGGATGGGTGGAGTGAGGATTTGAATCCAAGTTTAAGTGTTCTCTGATCTCACACACTGTCAGAGCCCTGTCCAGTCCCTTCCAATCTTTCACATCAAGGGCAAGACTTTGTACTCTTTTTGCCTGAGATATTTATCCGAAACTTGTAGAAGGCTGCTTTATTTAATCATGGTGCCCACAGAGAGTGTTTGGAAATTAACATCCCCAGGAGCAGCCCTCGACCAATAATTGATGCGAATTGGTGCATAAATACCCCTGCTCCTCTGTGTTCTGTCTCCCACTTTCTACATGGAATTTGGCTTCATTCACGCACCGTGATATCTGGCTTGATAGCTCACCTTTTATTAGCTGCCTTCTCCTCCTTGGCTCATCTGCTTATTCCTGTTGGTATTTTTTGAGACTACCCTCCCACCTCCCCCACCTCAATAGACTTGCACTCAAATCCTTGGCTTGGTTTTGCTTCTTAGGAAACCAAACTTTGATACCAGACTGCAAACTCTTAACCACAGCACACATGCAGTTGAAGAAAACTTATTATGATCCCCACCAGTGAACTCGAAGGAGTTCACAAAAGGTTGGAAGCTGGGGACCAGGCTTCTCACTAAATATCAGCCCTCTGAAATGCACTGAACCCCAAGGAAGGAGCACAAGAATCAATCTCAGGAGGTTCACAGTGTGGCCTGTCTCAGCAACATCAGAGAAATTGAAATGGGGAGTCATCACCCTGACTGACATCACCTTTCTCAAATCAAAGGGAGAAGGATGCTATAGTCCAGCATCTGTGCAGTTCTGCTTGTAAAACTCTCCTTGTCTGGAGAGTAGACTCTGGTTAGGTCACTTCTGAAGCAATCATCACACTGACCTCCCAAGTGGTATATACACAGAATACAGATTCAGGAATCAGAATATTTTGCTGGCAATTCTGCAAGCAGAAAATCTATGACTGCTCGATGCTAATTCAGTTAAAACAGCAAATGGTCAAAATTTGCCTCTATGTACTTTGTGCTTACAATTATATGTGAACCTTCTAATTGGCTAATTCGGCCCTCAAATCCCAGACCAGTAACCCAGTCATCCCATAGGTACACAGGAAGGTGAAATTTCTCCCTGGATCCTGAGCATAAGAATTCAAGACTAAAAGAGAGCACTGCTAGTGATGGGGAGCACTGCTCCATGTGTGAGTTCAGTTCTCCATCTTTGTCTTTTGTGGTTCAGTCTCTGTCCTAATAACTTAGCAGGGTCTTTTCAAAATTCCCCCCAAGTTATATAGGAAACATAAAACTTTTCCAACTGCTGGCTCAGGGAGGGTAGACAGGTATGAAAATTCCCAAAGGCACATTTTTGTCATTGCAAATTTTGGGGTCACTCCCTTGGCCAGTCAAAATTTTTTTTTTTTTGTCTTTTTCCGTGTCTGGCAACGGATCGCAAGCAGGGTCTTTTCAAAATTCCCCCCAAGTTATATAGGAAACATAAAACTTTTCCAACTGCTGGCTCAGGGAGGGTAGACAGGTATGAAAATTCCCAAAGGCACATTTTTGTCATTGCAAATTTTGGGGTCACTCCCTTGGCCAGTCAAAATTTAAGTTGGCTGATTTGGAACATAAAAAGCATACAACACCCTCCTGGGCAAAGAATGACTTAGACAGGTAAGAACTAGTAAAATCATTCATTCCTTTACTCACTCCACATGCATTCATTCACTCACTTACTCACAAATACTTATTATACTCTCAGGATATTCCCTATTCAGCGAAGACTTTGCTAAACATTGTCCAGGAGCAATTAGAAAAGCATTACACAGGATAAGCAGTCAATAAGTGATAAATATTATGATCTAGAAAAGGAGAGAGGCATTAACAAATAATAATTTAAATGATTAAAGTTGAAATTTAACTTGAAAGGAAAATATATGTCTCTTTGGGAGTATGTAAAAATTGTGGGTAAACTTTTACCTCATCTGGGGATATCAAGGAAAGGAAATCCACAAAAGGGACATCTCTGCTACAATCCTAAAGGTAAGAATTAGCTGCGGAAGTGGAGAGGAATATAGACTCATCTTTTTAAACAACACAGTCTCCGCTTTCATCTGTCTTCCTTTGTGGATCTCTGGGCTTCATGGAACACATCTCTGAAGTTACAAAACTGCATTTAAAAAGATTCCAGACTAATTGAGGTCTTCCCAAAAGCTGAATATTTTACTGGTCAGTTGTGGTAGAATGTTCTGGTTACCGCTATTGCCCATTAATTTCTAAGCAGGATTCAAAACGGTATCTGTGCATGGACTTGTCATGGAAATTCGCTCTTCCATTTCAATCACGCTGAGCTCAGCAGTGGGCTGTGAAACAGCACCCCTCACAGATGTAAGAATTAATATTCGGGCATTACCCCAAAGTGGGCACGCCCTTCTGCAATATTATTAGATGCTAATCCTATGAGATATTACCTGGACATATTTTCCCCCAAACCTTTTTTAACTTTTCCAGAGTATATGCTATGAGCAACAATCCAACTTTATCTTTAATGCCATGACAATAATGGTCTTCCTACATTGTTCTTTTGCTCATTTATGCATTAGCTCATACCTCATAAACAATAGGTAACCAACATACCTTTGAAAGCACAGCAATTACCAAATTTTATGATCACCAAACAATTTCTATTATTTGAAAATTACAATCAGCTATAAAAGCAGATTCATGCTTCAGACACTATAAGCACAGGTCCGAGCCACATCGGTTCAGTACAAATCCCAGTTCTACCATTTACCACCTGGGTAACCTTGGGCTAGAAATCTTCTGTGGCTCAGTTTCCTCAGCTACAAAATGGGAGTAATGGTGTTATAGGTTACGAGGACCAAATGAGTTAATTATTATAAAGAGCCTTAAGCAGTATGTAGAAATCTTCTGTGGCTCAGTTTCCTCAGCTACAAAATGGGAGTAATGGTGTTATAGGTTATGAGGACCAAATGAGTTAATTATTATAAAGAGCCTTAAGCAGTATGTGGTATAATACATAGTAATTGCTCAATGAACATTCGCTATTATTATTTCTGTATATTATGTTTAAACCAATACACATGATCACCCAGGGTAGACATTGACAAATATCACCAAAACATAAGATTGTTGCTATTATAAAATTGTTCAGTGGGTAGGCTCTCAGGGCCACTGCATAATGAGCACATCAGTGTGGCAGTTACTCAGTCGTGCTAATGTCCTAGGACACCAAGTTTTCTTTAATGTGGCAGCTCAGAGCTCTGTCCTCCAGGCAAGAGCCACCGCCTTAAACTTATGCACAGAAAGCAAATCCTAACATCACCCTCTTTGTACCTGGTTCTCTTGTTAGCTTCCATTTCTTTACTGCAGCACAGAACTTTCTCTCTTAAAGAAACGGTTTGTTTATCCTGACAGGTATTGATTCAAGAATAGACCCAACTTCGAAGTTTGCTTCCAGAGAAAGGATTTTTTTCTCTTCCAGACTGCAGGTTGTCAACTGGCAGCATATGGGATGGCTGTGTCCAGGAGATGTGGTGAGTTCCGCCGGAGCACTCGGTCAGAAAGTGCAATCGCCATGCTGCGGGGAGCGCACCCCTCTGAGCTGAGCTGTCCTCCTGGGCGCCAGGCCCCACCCCTTACGTTATTATTGTGACGTCATTGTGACGTCATTGCTCCTGCTCGCTCAACCCCGTTACACACTTGCCTGGGCCCCTAGGCATGTGAGTTGGCAATCCCTGAGGCAGGTGAGTTGGCAATCCCTGTTTTAGACTTTGGAAATAGGCTCTTCGAGCTAAGAACTCTCCTTGCCATGAGTCTCTGGCGACCTGTCACAGTGGTGCCTGTACCTTGTGCTGCTGGCTCTGTTGCAGTAATTTTGGCCAGGAACCAAGCACTGGCTGACAGAATGAGGGTGAGGGGATTTTCACCAGTGCTAGGGCTGGCCCCTGACATGTCCTGTGTGATGCCTCCCTTCCCCCATCCACAGAAACAGAAAGGAAGGACTCCCAAGATGCAGTCACCCAATACAGAAAGGAAGGACTCCCAAGATGCAGAGTCACCCAATTGAAAGAGCCCAGAAATCAGTCGCTGCGTAGAGGACAGGTACCCAGGAGAGCCGCTCAGCAAGGAACATCCACATGTCGCTGTGTGAGTCACTGAGATTTGGGGTTGTTTGTCACAGCAGCTAGCCTTGCTGACTCTACACCAGGCACTGAAGGAACAAGGACAGAGGGGTCTTCCGCACCACTAACATCACAGATATGTCCCAGAGGCCAGGCAGAATACCTGACTGATGAAAAGCTTAACACAACTGCCTCCACAGCAGCTGTAAACAAAAAGAAAGAAACTTCTGCTACAAATAGTTATCTCACCGGGCTGTGGACAACCTCAGATCACATCCTCTCTTCAACCAGCTCCACACAGGAGGCTAGTATCTCCCGGCTACCTGTCATTTTCCTTTCACTGAGCCACTCCTCTTTTTGCTATTAGTGTGGACAGTTACCTTACCCTGGCTGCAAAACACCTCTGGTTTACTCTTGTCCCAGTCTGTCTATCGGAATCAGTTTGCAGGATCTTAGATTGGTGAGGAAGAAAGTATACTATCTCGGACTTGTAGAATATAAAAATATTAACAGCAATGTATTTTGATTGTTTCTTTATCCTGCCAAGGACCAAAAACCCAGAGTCCTGGAAGGGTTTATAAAGGCACACTGCCTCCAGGGAAAGCATGGAGAAAATGAGAACTTCCAGGACACAGTATGCACACGCACACACACGTGCACACCCAAAGACACGTGCATACACACAGAAACGTGCACACACACACATGTGCACACAGAAACATGTGCACAGACATGTGCACACATGTGCACACAGACACGGGCATACAGATGCTTGCACGCATGTACACACACAGGCACGTGCACACAGATGTGTGTACACGTACACACAGATGTGCACACAGACACGGGCATACAGATGCTTGCACGCATGTACACACACAGGCACGTGCACACAGATGTGTGTACACGTACACACAGATGTGCANAATAACTTAGCAGGGTCTTTTCAAAATTCCCCCCAAGTTATATAGGAAACATAAAACTTTTCCAACTGCTGGCTCAGGGAGGGTAGACAGGTATGAAAATTCCCAAAGGCACATTTTTGTCATTGCAAATTTTGGGGTCACTCCCTTGGCCAGTCAAAATTTAAGTTGGCTGATTTGGAACATAAAAAGCATACAACACCCTCCTGGGCAAAGAATGACTTAGACAGGTAAGAACTAGTAAAATCATTCATTCCTTTACTCACTCCACATGCATTCATTCACTCACTTACTCACAAATACTTATTATACTCTCAGGATATTCCCTATTCAGCGAAGACTTTGCTAAACATTGTCCAGGAGCAATTAGAAAAGCATTACACAGGATAAGCAGTCAATAAGTGATAAATATTATGATCTAGAAAAGGAGAGAGGCATTAACAAATAATAATTTAAATGATTAAAGTTGAAATTTAACTTGAAAGGAAAATATATGTCTCTTTGGGAGTATGTAAAAATTGTGGGTAAACTTTTACCTCATCTGGGGATATCAAGGAAAGGAAATCCACAAAAGGGACATCTCTGCTACAATCCTAAAGGTAAGAATTAGCTGCGGAAGTGGAGAGGAATATAGACTCATCTTTTTAAACAACACAGTCTCCGCTTTCATCTGTCTTCCTTTGTGGATCTCTGGGCTTCATGGAACACATCTCTGAAGTTACAAAACTGCATTTAAAAAGATTCCAGACTAATTGAGGTCTTCCCAAAAGCTGAATATTTTACTGGTCAGTTGTGGTAGAATGTTCTGGTTACCGCTATTGCCCATTAATTTCTAAGCAGGATTCAAAACGGTATCTGTGCATGGACTTGTCATGGAAATTCGCTCTTCCATTTCAATCACGCTGAGCTCAGCAGTGGGCTGTGAAACAGCACCCCTCACAGATGTAAGAATTAATATTCGGGCATTACCCCAAAGTGGGCACGCCCTTCTGCAATATTATTAGATGCTAATCCTATGAGATATTACCTGGACATATTTTCCCCCAAACCTTTTTTAACTTTTCCAGAGTATATGCTATGAGCAACAATCCAACTTTATCTTTAATGCCATGACAATAATGGTCTTCCTACATTGTTCTTTTGCTCATTTATGCATTAGCTCATACCTCATAAACAATAGGTAACCAACATACCTTTGAAAGCACAGCAATTACCAAATTTTATGATCACCAAACAATTTCTATTATTTGAAAATTACAATCAGCTATAAAAGCAGATTCATGCTTCAGACACTATAAGCACAGGTCCGAGCCACATCGGTTCAGTACAAATCCCAGTTCTACCATTTACCACCTGGGTAACCTTGGGCTAGAAATCTTCTGTGGCTCAGTTTCCTCAGCTACAAAATGGGAGTAATGGTGTTATAGGTTATGAGGACCAAATGAGTTAATTATTATAAAGAGCCTTAAGCAGTATCTGGTATAATACATAGTAATTGCTCAATGAACATTCGCTATTATTATTTCTGTATATTATGTTTAAACCAATACACATGATCACCCAGGGTAGACATTGACAAATATCACCAAAACATAAGATTGTTGCTATTATAAAATTGTTCAGTGGGTAGGCTCTCAGGGCCACTGCATAATGAGCACATCAGTGTGGCAGTTACTCAGTCGTGCTAATGTCCTAGGACACCAAGTTTTCTTTAATGTGGCAGCTCAGAGCTCTGTCCTCCAGGCAAGAGCCACCGCCTTAAACTTATGCACAGAAAGCAAATCCTAACATCACCCTCTTTGTACCTGGTTCTCTTGTTAGCTTCCATTTCTTTACTGCAGCACAGAACTTTCTCTCTTAAAGAAACGGTTTGTTTATCCTGACAGGTATTGATTCAAGAATAGACCCAACTTCGAAGTTTGCTTCCAGAGAAAGGATTTTTTTCTCTTCCAGACTGCAGGTTGTCAACTGGCAGCATATGGGATGGCTGTGTCCAGGAGATGTGGTGAGTTCCGCCGGAGCACTCGGTCAGAAAGTGCAATCGCCATGCTGCGGGGAGCGCACCCCTCTGAGCTGAGCTGTCCTCCTGGGCGCCAGGCCCCACCCCTTACGTTATTATTGTGACGTCATTGTGACGTCATTGCTCCTGCTCGCTCAACCCCGTTACACACTTGCCTGGGCCCCTAGGCATGTGAGTTGGCAATCCCTGTTTTAGACTTTGGAAATAGGCTCTTCGAGCTAAGAACTCTCCTTGCCATGAGTCTCTGGCGACCTGTCACAGTGGTGCCTGTACCTTGTGCTGCTGGCTCTGTTGCAGTAATTTTGGCCAGGAACCAAGCACTGGCTGACAGAATGAGGGTGAGGGGATTTTCACCAGTGCTAGGGCTGGCCCCTGACATGTCCTGTGTGATGCCTCCCTTCCCCCATCCACAGAAACAGAAAGGAAGGACTCCCAAGATGCAGTCACCCAATAGAAAGAGCCCAGAAATCAGTCGCTGCGTAGAGGACAGGTACCCAGGAGAGCCGCTCAGCAAGGAACATCCACATGTCGCTGTGTGAGTCACTGAGATTTGGGGTTGTTTGTCACAGCAGCTAGCCTTGCTGACTCTACACCAGGCACTGAAGGAACAAGGACAGAGGGGTCTTCCGCACCACTAACATCACAGATATGTCCCAGAGGCCAGGCAGAATACCTGACTGATGAAAAGCTTAACACAACTGCCTTCGCAGCAGCTGTAAACAAAAAGAAAGAAACTTCTGCTACAAATAGTTATCTCACCGGGCTGTGGACAACCTCAGATCACATCCTCTCTTCAACCAGCTCCACACAGGAGGCTAGTATCTCCCGGCTACCTGTCGTTTTCCTTTCACTGAGCCACTCCTCTTTTTGCTATTAGTGTGGACAGTTACCTTACCCTGGCTGCAAAACACCTCTGGTTTACTCTTGTCCCAGTCTGTCTATCGGAATCAGTTTGCAGGATCTTAGATTGGTGAGGAAGAAAGTATACTATCTCGGACTTGTAGAATATAAAAATATTAACAGCAATGTATTTTGATTGTTTCTTTATCCTGCCAAGGACCAAAAACCCAGAGTCCTGGAAGGGTTTATAAAGGCACACTGCCTCCAGGGAAAGCATGGAGAAAATGAGAACTTCCAGGACACAGTATGCACACGCACACACACGTGCACACCCAAAGACACGTGCATACACACAGAAACGTGCACACACACACATGTGCACACAGAAACATGTGCACAGACATGTGCACACATGTGCACACAGACACGGGCATACAGATGCTTGCACGCATGTACACACACAGGCACGTGCACACAGATGTGTGTACACGTACACACAGATGTGCACACAGACACATGCACACACGTGTGCACACACAGATGAGTGCGCACATACAGACACATGTTCTCGCTATGAGTATAAACTCATGTCATCCACACTCCTGCTGAGCCTGACCTCCTTAAAATGTTCCTGGTGTTTTATAGCCCCGGGAACACAAAACACTTCCCACC